ATACAAAGAAAATGCCACTACTTGCCACCCTTTCCGTATCAGACTACAAAATGTCCAAATCACTAAAATAACGGACGGAAAATGGATAATCACCACGCCCGAACAACTAATTGTCTCAGCATCTTGTCCAAACTCTAAGGACAACGTACCGCTTCATGGTTCCTACTTAGCCGAATCTACAAATGAATGCAGCTTACAAATAAAGTCAATTACTCTACGAACTTATAATCAATCGTTTGACTTATGATGATGTATCCTTGCCTACACTGAATTTATCGATGAATTATTACCAAACAAAGGAGTTTGCTTTTAATCCACCTACACTTGACCTAAACTCCATCAACTTGAAGGAAACCAATGAAATTGCCACAACGCTTCAAGAACAGAAGAGACGACTACAAGAAATATCCAACCCAATGGAAATGCACCAAATAAATTTTTGGACAATTTTACTTTTACTTATTTAGTTTAATCATATTTTTCTTTTAGCATTTTCTTTATTTTTTCCATTGTATAAAACCATACCTTTTTTGGTATGCTTTTAACTTAGGATGGAGGAGTTATATCCCGTGAGAACTCCAATTCAGCATTTATATTGTTCTATTCAGCTTATTTTTTATATTATAAAAGGAGTAATTTTTAGATTTAAGTCAGTTCTATTGTATTAGTCAAATAAAGTTTTTTAAAAACGCTCTCTCGTGTACACCCCTCGTAAGTCATTTTTTCAAAAAAATGCATATTAGGAATCTCCGAAAAAAAAATTGAGAAAGGTTAAAGTATTTACTACCAAAAAAACAAAATGTTTTAAGAATAATTAAAATATGTATTTCCCAAAAATATCACAAATGCTGATATCTCGTAAACGACGAAGCTTTGCATAAGGTCAAACAGCTTCCAAATGATACTCCAACCTATGACTCCAATCATCACTTATTCTATCGATGTACCAAACAGCATGTATATAAAAGTAATGTTTTTACCATTGAACTGTCACTTCCTGATTTGACGACAGACCAAAATGTGATCTGGAACTTTTAACTCACATATCGGAGTAGGTTGCGACAAGAGGATGAAGACATTTTCACAATATTTGAAGAATGTGTTGCTAAAACAGGCCATTTTTCAGAATATTGGCCGTAACTGAAAAATAAATTAGGAAGATTTGAAGCTTCCCCCTCCGGAGAAAAAAGGGACCTGATCTGGTTGATTTAATGAACATATTGAGAGGCGATGATAAATATAGAGATCTTGGATGATAATGACAAAACTAGTCAATACCACAAGAAAAAATCATACTCAAATAACAAAAAATAATTTGTTCAAATAATGTAAAATAGAAGGGCAGTCATTCACACACAACCAAAATAATAAGTTTGGGGCTGAATGTTGTGTGCACGTTCAAGGATTGAGTCAATATAAGGTTTTTGTATTTCGTGCAAGTATTTATTACTCCCCGTGTGGGGATTTGTCAGTTACGTCCATCGGGTGCGTTCCTATGGAAATTAGGGGAAGCTCGCTGGGTCTGTAATCCATCAGATTCAGAGGCAAGTGGGAAAATAAAATACCCACCGTGAAACAAAAACTGATCCGGTCCTCCAGGATGGGGATTGAGGCATTAGACTGGTTCTCTAATATTCGGAAAAATACAAAACTACCAAAAAACCTAAGCCAAGCGTCGGAACATTGGACGCATCACCAAGACAACAAACACGGCAAAGAAAATGGACTATGAATCTCGCTACGTGGAATGTGCAGGGTATTAGACTGGAAACGGATATTATTGCATCAGAAATTCAGGAATTGAACATCGATTTACTAGCACTAACTGAAACCAAGAAAAAAGGAAGTGGCACCGAAAATGTTGAAGAATATATTCACCTTTTTACTGGAGTGTCAAAGGAAATGAGAGCAGCTAGAGGAGTATCCATACTTATAAAGAAAAACTGGAAAAACAGAATTAACAGCTGGGAAGCATGTAGATGAAAATATCCTACCGGTCAACTTGAAACTACAGGGCTATAACATCACCATTATAGCAGCCTACGCTCCATCAGAGGACGAAAGAGTCGGCATTAAGCAGGAGTCCTTTGACAAATTGGATGAAATCCTAGTAGATATTGGAAGAAATAGAGAAATGATAATGATAAAGGATTTCAATGGAAGAACGGGAAGGACGAACAATAGCCCCGCTGTAGGACCATTTGGAGAAGACATAATCAATGATAATGGCCAAAGGCTCATACATCTCTGTGAGACCCACAATCTTAGAATAAACAATGGATTTTTCTAACACAAAGATATTCACCTCTACACATGGATACCGAATAACCGTAACCTGAAAACTATTATTGACTATGTGATAAGCAAACAAGCAACAAACATAGAGATAAACGACGTAAGAGTCCTAAGAGGAATAACTTGCGGTCAGATCATTTTTTAGTAAGAGCCAAAATAAAGTTGCAATTTAGAAAAACGAACAAGAACCCAGAGGAACAAAACACCAATGCCATACTAACGGACACAGTGGATACAACAAAGTACAATATTGACAATTTTAGAGATGGGAGCACTCTGTTTCTATATCAGAGGCGACTCAACAGCAAACTATTGAATTCTGAAGAATGTACCTTCAATAAACTCTATGAGGACATTATAAGGAGTCTAATAGAAGCCACACAAGAAGCAATAGGAACGAAGGAAAAAAATGCCAACAAGAAATACTGGTGGAACGAGGAGATAGAGCTATTAGTCCAAGAGAAGAAGCAAAAATATCTGAAATAGCTAACAACAAAAAATTAACAAGACCTCGAAGTTTATAAAGACACAAAAAGGCAACTAAGAACGTGCATCACTATAGCTAAGAACGAGTCATGGGATAAGAAATGTGAAGAAATTAACATCTACATAGGAGGAAGGAAATGCTCAGAGGTATAGAGATTTATATCAAATGTCAAAAACCCAGGAAAGGACAGAGCTAATATTCAGATTATTAAACCAGAGCAATGGATAGAACACTACAAGGGTCTATTACAAGAAAGTAGATCGGAATATATATTAGATTCTCCGAGACATATTGAACTAGGTACATGGAGAAGTAGTTGAGATATCTGAAGAAACAGTAAAAAAGACTGTTAGGAATCTTAAATTAGGTAATGCTAGCGGCCCAGAAGGGATATACATACTCCGAAATGCGGAAACGGGGAACTGAGAAGCTCTTTAAAACATGTATGAAACATGTATTATCAATAAATGCTTAAATGGACATCCTGTTCCACAAGACTGGAAAATGGCTTTTATATCATCCATTCACAAAAAAGAAAATAAGCTTGATTGCAATAGCTATCGGGGCATATCAGTCACAAGCACACTAAGCAGACTATACGGTAGAATCCTGCATGATCTCATTGAAAAAGAATATATAAAGAGCAAGAAGAAGAGCAGCGCGGCTTTAGAGCAGGAAGATCAGGTACGGACAATATATTTTGCCTGAAACAAGTCATAGAAAAGAGATCAGCTAGACATTTGGAAACCCACCTTACATTTGTGGACCTACAAAAAGCACACGATACAGTCCCAGTATCTAGACTATGGAAGGTATTAGAACAATCCAACATCAATCACACCTATATAAAGGGACTTAAAAAACTATATGAAAACTCAAAATCTAGGTAGAAAGCTCACATACACATTTATAGTGAATAGAGGACTACGTCAAGGATATGTCTCTCCTACGCTTTTCAAAATATACGTAGCAGTGGCATTGAAAAATTGGAAGAGGAAGATCCCATGGAATAGAGATAAATGAGAGGTGCCTGTTTACTCTTCAGTTTGCAGATGATCAGGTCATATGATTAGTAAGATGATAGAAGAGAAATGCAAGAATGGGGCCTGAGAGTTAATATAAATAAAACAAAATATTTATGTGTAGGCACCCAGAACGGAAACTTGGAAGTGGACGATGGTCAGGAAATTCTGCTATGTCAAAAATATGAGTATCTAGATATCACATTCGACAACGACGGAACAGACGCGAAAGAAATAGAAAAGCGAATAGTTTAAGCTAAAAAAGTAATAGGATGCCTAAATGGAATATTATGGAACAAGGAAATAACCAAGAAGAGAAAATTCAATATATACGAGACAATGATAAACAGCAGCCTTTTAGAGAGAATTACAGACAGACATAAGAAAGAAGTGGAAGCAGTTGAAATGGATGCTATTAGAAAGTCCAAGCAAATCTCACAAAGAGAGAATAAAGAACGACAACATAAAACAACAAATGGGAATAGAAGGCACGATAAATCAGAACATTGAAAGGAAACAACTTACCTGGTACAAACACATAGAACGAATGCCAAATGCCAGGTGGCCCAGAAAAATGATGCATTGGCAACTAACAGGTAGAAGAAAATGAGGAAGACTAAAACTGGAATGGCAGAAGACCATACAAAAGTCCATGAGTGAAAGAAATCTCTCATCAGAGGATTGCGACGATAGAAGAGGATGGAAATTAGGTGTTGGACAACGAAGAAAAACGTTGTATGCCATTTGTTTCAAAAAATTGTGCTAGCGTAAACTAAGAATTAGAATATGGATGCCATAGAAGGGAAACAAGGCAAGAAGCAGGATCTAAATGGAGGCGAACAAAAGCTCTTAGATTAGCTTGGTTCTTCTAAGACCATAGGTGATGAGAAAACTGGAGAGTTGTGATATCCAAGTCCTTGACAAAAGATATTCTCAAGATAGTGTTGGTGGATCTTGTAGTAAAAATTTATGGGGTTCCTATAGAGCGGTAAAAGGTCAAGGCCTTTCATTTGTCTGGATTAAGATTATGTGCCAATGCTCAGACACTTTATCTTGCAAATTTTGTGAGACTAAAATCCTCCTTAAAGACCGCAATCCTCACGATACCCGAATACAGAAATTAATTTCAGATCATCGCCAAAACGCAAGTATAGTGATTGTCAGTGAAACCATTTATTTTTTATTTGGAACCTTACCTTGTAATTAATTAATGAGCCCGCTAAAGCTCGTATGCTAGCACCTCCGTCATCCAAAATAATACTAGCATTCACCGACTCAGTTAGGCTACTCAGACTAACGCGTTGTGCCGATGCCATGTCCGCCTGGACTTCTAAGCGCTGAGCACCTTGATGTAGGCTACCAGCTAGTGCCACCTAGAAAAGAAATACATATAATTAACTGAATCTATTGAAATTTTTCAATTCGCGTTTTAATTATTAGTGATGGTACATTACTAAAATAGACTAAAATGTAAAGAGGATAAGGCAGGATACAGAGATCATTGAGAATGTCTAAAGAAAAATTACATGAACACCTGTTGAAAATTCAGGATCTTGACCATAAACAAGATACAGTGCTATCACTGCCATCTCAGCACAATGTTACACATTACATGAGATAGTATAATATCACAAATAAAATAACAAAAAATTAGGGAGAATACAAAAAGAGAGATCCGATTTGCTTTTCTATGACCTCGAACGGGGCTAACGGCGGAAATGTCAGGGGCGCACACTGGTAAAACCCTCTTCCGCCGACATTTAACGTCAAGAATACTGACTGGTGACGCGCTACCACTGAACATCTTTCCGCCGTTGCCCAAGTGGCGTGACCATCGGTTCTCTCTTTCTGTTTTCATTCTGATTGTTTCTTATTCTGTGATAATACTCAGGGCGGTAAGACTTTGGTCAATAGCCATTGGCATTGTTGTAAATGTTTTTTAAAGCATTCGGAAAATTTTAAAAAATATATATATATATTTGGTAATATACTAGAGATAACAAAGACAATTAATTTTTTACTTGAAAATCAATCCTCTTGCAAAACTTACCGTGCTAGCACTCTCCCTGTCAGCTTCCCTGTGACTTCCAGACGCTAAGCTAATACTAGCTTCCCCGATGCTGGGATTACCAGGCTCCTTCGTTGTAGTACTGATGGCGTCCACTGATGATGTATCAGGCGCCGGAGTCATTGGTTCGTCTGCAGATGCGTTTCCGCCGCAACCGCCGTTTCTGCATAGAGACACGGGCACCACTCCATAAACGTAGAACAGTAGGATCGGTACTCCAATACCCACAGCTAAACCGGCGATTAGCGGTGAGATCAATGCCTGTAACAAAAAAAAATTGAAAATTAATTTTTGATTTTCCCCTATTCTGTATTGTAGATTTGGGAATAACTGACAACGTTGCAAATAACCAGACAACGATTGAGGGTGTGTCGGAGACGGACGAGGTTATATAAACGGCGGAAAAGCACTACTGAATGGGTTAATTAGTTTAGAGGTTTAGGGTCTTTCTATTGCATCAAGATTTATTCGGCAATTTTACACTCGATCAATTTTAGATGTCTTTAAATTACATTCGTATATGCAATAAAGACCTCATTAATTGGAATAAAGAAAACATTTCCATAAAAAAAAACATTAAAATGAAATTAGCCAATGGAAAAATCAAAACATTTCTGAGACAAAGAGTAATTTTTTTAAATTAGCTGGGTCATTAACAGACGCAAACGTTGCAGCAAATTGGATTTTGAATAGGTATTGTATCTACTTATTTTTGGCAAGCGACGTTTAAAAATATCATTCAATGTGTTCCCGTGGGGCATTTATAAAATAAGTGTTTTAAGAATGTGCTCGTTTTGTATTTAAATTAACAAAAGAAAAATAATATAAGTAAATATAGGTAATGTATTTATTGAATATTCGAATTTCGGAAATAATTACCTTCTTCTTCTATGTCAAGATATTAATTGTTAGGATGGAGCCAATTATGTACGATAATCGATCCAAACGCTGACGTGAAATATTCACTAAGCAACTACATACAGGGTGTTCATTTTAAAACTTACCACCCCTATTATCTCGGAGTTGAAAAATTTCAGAAATAATTCCTGAAACCCGTCAGAGTTTTTATGCAAAATTCACCTTCCCCCTTCAACCCCCTAGAGCCACCCACTAAAAAATCTTAAATGGGAAGGAGGGTCAAGTGATACATCATTTTGAAGGGTCCATACATCTTGGTACAAAATTTTAATCCCTAAGTTCAACCGTTTTGGAAATAAAGAAAGTTGAAAATTGACTTTATTGCTACTTTGACAGGCTGTAAAACCTGAACAGTTCTTGATCACCAAAGTAGTATTTCGCGCACTTGATACAAAAATAACTATTATTTTCAAAATTAAGCATCAACGCATTAACGTGTTACAAATGTAAACGTGGTTGCAAATTGGGGTTGATGCAACTCAATTTGAACCTCAGTTTTTACATTTTCCCCAAATTTATGTTTAAAATATAAAATGGTTATGATAATCATAAAAATTATACTTAAAATTATGATTTCATGTGGATATATGGTTATTTACAAAGGTTAACTCTTTTATTTCCTACTGAACTATTATAACCATATAATACCTTGGTTACGATAATCATAACCAGGGTCTTAACTCCCAAGGAAGTTAAGGATTTCCATAACTCCCGCTTTTACCTTGAATAAGTAAAACTTTGAGAAAAACTGGAAATTTTGGTTTATGGTTTATTCCTTTATAAAAATGGACAAAATACAGTAAATTCAGTAGGAAATAAAATTATCTATGTACCAAGGGAATTATCAGCTGTTAATACCCACGGGCAATTGGTGTCTTGCCCTGGGGTATTAACACCCTCATAATTCCCTTGATACATAAATAACTATTAAGGATCGAATTTCAAGCTGTGTTGCTTGTGTGGGTGTTGGGTATCTTGAGTTCCAAATTGAAGTTTTCTTTAATGTCTTCGGAAAATGTGTGATTATTGAGAGTCACTGAACATTTTCTTCTGGAGATTAGAGTAGGACTGGCAATTATCTCGATGTACTTCTTTTGATTGCACTCCATAACTGCTGTCAAACTTCTTTTGGGAATTAAGAATAACTGATTGTTCGGTAGTTCTTGAACTGTCGGTTCTTCATAATCGATTTTCAAGAAAGGGCATTTTTGTTGTTCACAGGGCTCATTTTGGGTTAATGTCTCAAAATTGCACAAGTATACGCCTTCGACATTAGGGCACTCGTTTGATGCATTCAAATATGTGTCTGTTGTAAGTAACAAATAGGGATGCTTAATATTAATGGTATAATTCTGGATAGGAATAGGATAGAGTTTACACATCAAAAAAGGTTTTGGGTTTATTTTTGGTGCATATAATCAATTTCTTTTGCATGCTTACTGTTGTCGACATTGTTTCGTAATACTTTATTACATTGTCAAATGGGATTTGCTGATTCTTGGGTATATTTTTAAGAATCTGGTCGAGTTCATTGTGCTGCAAAAAATGCCTGATTGTGCAAAGTTGATAGCGAGTTGCATGTGATTTATCAGATCTTGTACCTTGCTAGTCTGCATACTAATGTGTTATCTAGTATTAGGTTCAAAGTTATAATCATCTGTAGATTCTGATTATTCGCAAAAATATTTTTTACTCTCTTTGAAATGACTACTGGATCTTTCGAATTTTCATTGATAGTTTGTTGATTTTCATCCAACGTTTGAATATATGAGTCATATCTAGCATCGTCTTCGGCGTCAAGTGATCCGTGCAGCCATTTTTGTGCTGTTCTTACAAAATTCAAGATTCCGCGTTGACCTCGTTTTCGCGAGGAAATTTGCTTTAGGAATTTCTTTATTGTCTCAAATCGTGATTGACTTATTTCAATATTGGCTTCGAATGAAGTACCAATATAATCTTTAGACCAAGCAGTTTGGTTCAAAGTGCTGTTTAAATTCTTAAGCATTATTTCAAGGTTTCTAATAATTTTCTTTATAATAGTTGTATTAATATGGTAGTATGTACCTAGTTTATGATCGTTTGTTATGTAGGTCGTTCCTATAGATATTAATAATATAGGGTTTTTACTGGTGTTAATATGTAACAATTGGTTGTGGCTCCTACGATGATGAGGATGACGAATGTTGCCAGGAACATTTTGGTTGGTCTGAAACAAATTGGTTGTTTAGGCTGTCGTTTTACGTTTTGTTTACTATCGTTATTGAGTAATGATGACGTCATATCGAGGGCTATTTTTTTTAAATCAAATTATTTGATAAAAATAGGATGTTCTAGTTGAGGTTCTGTTTCGCGTTTTGTATTGATTTTCTCTAAATCATGAGAACGTTTATGCTTTTACGTGGATTCTGCAATCTTAGGCTGGTTATACTTTCTCGTAAAGCAAAGTGTAACCTTTTAATTGAACTGTTAGAGTTCGGATTTCGAGGTGTTGTGTAATGCAATTCCGTCTAATGTAAAGTACATAGATCGGTCATCATTGCATTTTTGAATTAGACTCCATTTTCGGAGGAGATTCTTTGGGGAATTCCGTGATTACTGAAATATTTTAATAGCTGTGCTATAATTTCAACGGATATTTTGCTAGTGATACGGAGAACTTGAGCGAACTTTGAAAAGCTGTCAATTATTGTTAAGAACTTTTTGTTCGAAACAGTATAGGTATCGAAATAAAGATGTTCGAAGGGTCTTGATCCGATAGGGGTTGGCTTGAAAATAATTTTATAAGGTTGTCTTTCGTATTTTGTTTTATTGCATATCTCACATGCTTGTTATACAGGGTGTCACACGAGGTTTTTTCCAAATGATACCTTCGGAACGCATCATCGTATGTTCCACTGTATAATTTATAATCATTTTCTTTAACAAAGCCTTAACAAATTTGGCATTGCCGATTTTGTAATTTTATTTTCTAACGAAAAATGCCATAATATACCATGAGTTACATTTAAGATTTGAAAGATGACGTCACTTGACCGAAATTGAAGCGAAACTAATGAAATTGGATGACAAAGGTAGAAGCGGCACAAAATGTTACCCAAATTCTCAAAATTTCAATTATATTGGATGACGCGTTCCGAAGTTATCACCTGGGAGAAACGTCGTGGGACACCCTGTATATGCTTGAATGTCTTTTTCTAGGTTGGGCCACTTGTATCGTTTTTTCAAAGATGAAACGTTTTCTGTCATTCCGCGATGAGAAGTTTTAGTTTCGTGAGACATTTAAATCTTTTCTTTTTGTTCTTTAGGATCTGCAATGTCCTCTACGAAAGAATTGGAAATCAACAGTTTTAAAAAATTAGAATTAAACGATGTTTGTGAAACTCGTAAGACTATAGGCTCTATAGAGTTTTATTGTGTAAGTAATTTTTATAATATGTATTAGGTGGCATATATTCTTTTATTAGTGTAAGTGTAAGAAGGGTAATTGGGTAAGAAGAATATTAATCTTCTTTTATTTGGGAAAGGTGTGATTATTTCTTTTCTTGGTATTGTTATTCGAATACCTGAAAATTACTTGATTAGGAAAGAGATTGATATGTTTTTTGGTATAGGGAGCTGCTAAGATAGGGTTCTCCAGTGACGTATGAATGGTTTGTGCATCTTCTTGAGAATTTCCCTGAGGTTGTCTTGGTAAAATAGGATTTTTAAGTGATGTAGGAATATTTTGTATATCTAGTGGAAGATTTTCTTGAGCTTGTCTTGGTGGTATTAAGATTTGGGCCAGAATTTTAAATTTTGGCGGTGGTTTTTGTGGTACTACATATTACGAGGTGAATCAGGAGGTGAATTACGAGGTGAATTAGCTGTTATAATAGAATCTGAAAGTGATTTGTTTTCGTGTTCATCATCTATTCTTATTTCTTTGCTTCTACTGATAGGTAATTTCGGTTTTTGGGGCATAAAAAGATTAGTACCTTCGAAATATTTCCATAATATTCCGTCGTTAATTAGAGGTGTATGTTTTAAGATTGCTACTATTAGGGTTTTATGGAATTTTTCGTCAGAATCTGATTCAGTATACGAACTTGACGTATGAGAGAGAGCATTGACTTGTAAAGGGGGTCTGGATAATGCATCTGCACATTCATATTAAAGGTCCCTTTTTCATACTGGATTGTATAATCAAATTCGTCTAGTTTCAGTATCTATCTCACTTACTTAGAGCCAGGGTCTTTCACGGAAAATAACCATTCGAGTGAATATGGTCTGATAGTATTGTGAATTTTTATCCAAACAAGTAGGGTCTAAAATACTTAGTTGCCCATACTATGGCTAATAATTCT